ATTCACAAGCTCACCTTACTGATATACACGGTATAGTTCGATATGCTAGCACCGTTGTCGTTAGGCGGTCGCCATGCAACAACAAGATGATCGATCCCGCGCGAAACACACCTGAATAGATAAATGTGCACTATTGATTAGCCGCTTCTACTGTGACCAAGTTGCTGTACAGTGACCTTTGCTAAGACAGACAAAACACATCCTCCGGCTAGGACTATTTTTAAGAATACTAAACGGTTGCTACAAAGTGGAACAGCAGACAGTATCCGCGTGAACATTTTCCATGTGAGTTCCTTTCACTTAACTACTCTACAAATGGCTCAAGGAGTTTTTCGCACTCTGGTTAATTTGCCATTTGGGAGCCTTCTAGGCTACCGAGGAAGAAGCATTGCCAGCTTCCAGCCCTGCTTCGATATCCGTTGGTGTGATTTATGCGTGCCCACCACTCAGGGTTTGCTCGCAGACCATGGAAGTAAACAAACCACGAGGTCAAGCTGAGAAGTAAACAAACGTCGAGGTCAAACTATCACTGAGCTTTGAGTACTAAGGGTGTCTAAAAGGCCACATTGTTACACTCAAAGTTGACCGGAGAGGTTTTCCAGCTAGGTTACTCCGTTTAAGGAATAACTTTCCTTCAATTGGACTCACCGGAACATTAGCGGCGCTTCCGGTCGACCCGGTGCAGTCTTGAAGCACACCGGTTGGCTCGGCTCGCCAACCAAGCCGCGCTCTTCAAGGCATGCCTTCAGCTGCACGTAGTAGTCGGTATTCGGACGAAGCTGACATAGACGTAGTTTGTTACCGGTTTCCGTCTCGCACCTAAATCAGTCAATATGTATTGAGTGCCTCCGGTTGGATCGAAGAATAGAAACAAGAGCATTTTTAGGATCGGAGGAAATTTGCTGAGCGTAGAACTGGAAATCAGAACACACATAGACCTGAATAGTGAATGAACTTCCAATGTTAGGTTAGTAGACCTTCCCAGAACGTATCCATTTAGCTTCAGGCCACGGTGACATTTAGATAATGGTATAACACTCTGCCAAGTTGCGGAACAAGTTCACATAGGGTTTTTGAAGATAATCTTTAGACGAAAGGGCACATTACCTGTACGTACTAACGAATCTACCATGGTTCTCAAACAGCACAATTTGATAGGTGAATTCGGAGGCATCGATTTGAGGGAATGGACCTCCAGGAGCGGCAGCCTAAAAACGACTTCTTCAGACTCTGTGTGAAATGTAGACGTGCGTTCCCGTGATTGGTGAGTTCTTCGCGACAACCAATTAGAGATACTCCCTGCTTATGGAGCGACCTCCAAATGGAATCTAACGTCTATATCACATATTTTCAAAATGAATACCTCTGAGGTATCCAGTTGCTGCCAGGCAATGTCGGCTTCTGTAGGACCGACGCGAACCACTTGAGGGGCTAGGATACGCCCTAGCATTTCACGTACTTTATCCCATTCCTCACCGTCGATATCGGTTTCCTGCAAATGGAAAATCATAAAGATTTTCCGAAGTACTGTTTTCTCCCTCCCTAGCCCTCTAGCAGACACACCTGTTCATCATTTCGAGACGATGCTGACGGTACCAGGTCCGGAATCGTTAGCTTGCCGTTGTGGGACCATTTACGGTTCACTGTGTAGAGAGCCGGATGAAACGGTGGCACGGCTAACGGCGGTGTTGAGGCGATACGTGATGACATGAATCCCTTGAATATAAATGCACTCAGATCTATCATTGATTTTACGAACGTAAATACGTGCTATGTGTGCTGACATGCAAAATAATATCGTGTACTTGTTCTTTAGCTACTGTCGTCACCGTTCCAGTTTCTGCTCATGAAACGGCGTCGGGGACGAGGGTGACATTACATCGTCAGGATTATGGGTTCTCAACGGAACAAAAACTTGAGCTATCACGTGTAGTGCATTTAATAAATGAATCCACTTTTTATAGCAGAAAAAACTCTAATCGCTGATAACGTTGGGAACAGCGTCGTTGGTGAGGTAGGAGTTCTCAGTGTGTCTCATGCAAAACTTTGTGACAGGACGGTATTGGACATCTTAAGAACCACAAGAACACAACCTATTGAGAACATGTTAATGCAAAACTTAGCGAATTTCCGTTAAGAATTTTGGAACGAGAAATAACGTATTTGTTTTTTCTTGAATAGATTATCGATCTGTTTGTAGGAGTGGTAACATATAAGTTTGCAAGGAAAGAAAAAATTTTTTTCTGCGAAGCGAAGCAAAATAATTCTGGATGGCTATCAATTTGGGGCTTTAGAAATGGTCGGGATAAAGGGGTAATAATTGGAGGGATGAGTTCGTTTTTTTTCTGGTAAAAAAGTATTCGGCTGAAATTGAACTGGAACCGGCGTAAAGTATGCAAAATTTGCCTGTTTTCAAAAGGCCACATTAGTGAAGGAATTAGTAAGGCTCGCGAAGAAGAAGTGACGAAAACCTCATTCATGGAGCACGAAAACTTCCCGGGAGGACAGGTCATGTTTATTGGCCTTATTAGTTCGGATTAGTTTCATTGGAAAAACCACAAGTACACTCTTAATGCTTGTCTTAATCGATAAAAGTGAACAGTCTTACCGAGTTCGCAGCGCTCGGTGGAGGGAATCGAGGCGGTGACGGCGTTTCCGGAGAGAGGATCAGGTGCCGCAAGATACCCTGAAATTATAAGTCAATCACTAATCACTACTGTAACTATAAGTAATGCTTTCTGTAAGCTTTCTCCTATTTTATGTAGAGAAAATCCGCCACGAGAGTGTTGGGGAAAGCGTGAATACGTACATCCTTGTTCGAGTTCAGTTGGGGCAGACTATGCGCATAAATTTGTAACGGCAGAGAACAGCAACAACACATGGACACCAGATAGCATTAGGATATTTCAAGAAGCATCCGCACACGCCTATTACCACTCACTCATACACTCACACAACACATCTCGCTACACCTACTTCGTCACGTCCGTCACCCATCCATCACTACCAGAAACATTTAGCGAAAATTGTCACTCACTATGATAAACTTGTACCTTTCAGGATATTTATAATCCAAGCAACGATTCGACCTGTTCTACAAGGCCTTCTTCATGATCAGGGTGATTGACGGTAGAGGGAATTCTCGACCAAGGCTCAGATACTAGTGTGAATAATAGCATTAAGAGAGAACATACGGGGGAAAGAACAGACGGCCTAGCGTGTGGCGAAACACGAGAGCACTAGTCAGCTGCGGGAGAGAGTGCTGAACCGACCGATCATCCTCGACGAGGCGTCGGACTAAGCTACACTATCCCGACTTTTCACCGCCTCCGACGATTCCACGTCTTTCCGTTTATTTCAGGAATACAGGATACTAAGGCATGGTGCTGCTGGCTGTTTGCTTTTAAATGTTTTGCAGTGATCTCCGTCTCACAGCACTCCCACATTCCATTCTTTGATCACTGGTTTGAAATTGTTAACCAGTTATTGTTCGCTATTATCCTATAAAGATCCAACTCAAGTGTTTTCTCAATCAAAGTTATTTCTCCACAGAAAAAATATTGTATTTGCTCACTATAATGGAGTGGATTATAACTGGATATTATGAGTTCTATTTTTGGATTTTTATACTTCTCATCACAAACAACAATCATCAGAGAACACCGTCTCCAAAGCTGACGGCAAGGCTACATATGATTCATATCAATAGAACGTCTTTCTTTGAATTTTTACAGAACCGTCTCGCACTTTTCCGAACTTGTAGCTGAATCAGCCGGTTGCCTACGGTGCATGAAAATAATAACAGTAACGCAAATAGAGATTAATAAGTCTGTGTCACAGCATTGCATTTCCCGTGCTGAAGCGTCATCAACCTGGACTGCAAACAAAAAGTGTGCTATTCCGATGTTACTATTTATGCGAGCATAGAAGCATAAATTATTAACCAAATGTCGCGACTGGCTCTGAGCTAATCTTCCAGGGAAAGCCAAAACAGCCAATCCGTTCAGCCCTAGCACTTGAAGGGCCTGCATGTAGATATATGAGTAATTAAAGAAGACAATGCAGACAACAGCTTTCGCTAAATCGATAAATCAAAGGCGGATTTCCACGAAGAAAGGCAGCCCATCGAAAATTGAGCTAGAGATGGTCAGTAGTGCACGACAGAAGAAAAAAAAACCAAGAAAAAAGGCTTAGAACCCGAGTAATGGGACCGCTTCCTTGCCCGTCAATTTGCGCACTGCACACTGCTGCAACTCTCATCGGTGCCGCTCTCTTCAACGCTAACGTTCTCTCTGCTGAACGGCTAGAGACTCAGACACGAAACACGCGAGAGGGGAGAAGGGTGTACCTGGCCAATAGCGCACCAGCTGGGCCGCGGGGAACCATGCTGGGTTGCCGGGGGCATATCCTTTGATTGCGTGTCGGTCCGCACCCTCAGGGGGCCCGCCTGCCTTTCCACTATGTAGTAGGTCCCCCTCCCCCCTTCGATATTTGCCCTTATCGTGAAAATGGGGTATATACAACCAGTGAAACGGCGACTTTTTTTCGCACGGCGAACTCCCTGCCCTTGCCTGCGCCCCTGACCCCAAAGCGTCGCAATGCCGACCAATTGGCGACCCCTCTCACTCTCCTGCGAACCACCAATGCGACTCCGCCCCCCCTGCCGGTTCGGAAACAGTTCGAACGGACGGTTGACCCCTGATTCGGACTCAGCGTTCCACTGCAGCCGGATAGTAGCAGCATTTGGGATTGCTGTGTGAACGCTGGCCGTTTTGAAGTAACTCACAGTAGAATTAGCGAAAAGATCGAATTGGGAAGGAATTCCACATTTTGACCAACTTACCTTTACATTGTGCTTTTTAAGCCCTTTTTAAGATCAGCGATGGTTCCGTTTTCATGCAAACCTGGGATATCTTCCTAAAACAGCAAGTGCAGCCCACATTGCATGCCTTTAGCAGCTGCCACGTGTTAAGCAACGAAACCGCAGTTCGTCGTAATAACCTCAGCGTATGTTGTTATTAACTTTGGTTTCTTTTGCGATGCGGTTGAAGGAAGAAAGCACCTTCCAAATAGCTAATAGAACTCGAGACGAGTTCTTATAATCCATGAGCAGGGGTACCTCTATTTTACTACGAAGAGCCCACAGCCACCCGAAGCTCATCGAAGCAGTAGGCACAAAATTCATAAAACGAAATTCATTGCGAGAAATATGGGTGGAAGTTTGGGTGAAAAAAGACCGAGCAAGAAAAAAAGTAAGCCCACTGGAAGGGCCATTTGGTCAGATCGCGTATCTCTCTTCCTTCGAGCTTCCCATTAAACCCCATCAATGCCGCTCTATCTGAATGATCAGTATTTCACGGCCACTCCAAATATTCTACTTCCTCTAGGCGGAGCTGACGACTCCAATCGAAGTAGCATAGTGAAGGAAACTGACGGAAAATAGCAGCCTTCAAGGCAGTACAACGCCTACACTTTTCACTCAGCAGTGCAAACGCAATGGGTTCAACGTTATGAAGACCACTATTATCGTTACGAGGCAGCTCCGTCGTCTACTAGAGCTTTCCAAGTCTTCTGGTTAACTAATTCTTTCCCAGATCGTAAAGTTAACGGAATTTCTCGGCGAATAATTCTTCGCATTCTTTCTCTCAGCATGGAATGTCAATCCAGTTGATGATCACTGATAATACAGCACACAAAGTTGCAGCACATAGATTCGGTTTCCGACAGAGGAACACAACTTACAAAACTGATCAGTTTATTGGAGATAATCGAAGGTAAAGAGGTGCGAGCCAAAAGGTCGCTGTGCACTGAAAGATAGACCGCCCCAGGCGACTACGTTATTAGGGCGCGATGCCAGAATCGGTTGAGGCGTGTAATTTGAGAGCAGAGAACAATTGTGTAGAAACAGAATGGAGTAGAGTGTGAGATGTGAATGCAATAAGTCAAATTCCAGAAAGAGTTACCAGTGAAAGCACTCCGAGAATCATGGGAAAACATTCCCGTGCCGGTCTTAGGACATCTGTCAACCGTGAGCCTTGGCGGTTCAGCGTTTTGTAGTGATGTCTGGGAGCTCTCACAAGTGCACACTATCACAGCATCTCCTCTTTCTTTATCTTCTTCAAAAGGCTTAGTCCCAATAAGACACAAAGTGTGTGCTTTTCCAGCTACGCTCTCACCCTTTGGTTGACCCCCACCGCTGCTGTAACCTTCCCATGCAGCATTGGTTGTGGCAGATGTGGCGGCGTTCTTGAATATCCTTTGGTTGACAGATACCTTGTAACCTCCCGTGCCAGCATTTGTGACAGATGTGCGGCGGTTTTGAACGCGTAGCAGCCCTTCCGGTTTTCGAATTTTTACCAAAACAAATGCAATTTTCTGTTCTTTTCATTCTTATCGTGGATGATGGTCTCAAGCCAGTGATTTATGGCTGAAATAGAATCATGATTTTTCCGTGAAGGATTCCTTTGATGCTTGGAAAGGCCTAAGCGTTGAAGAGGATAGAACTCCACAGCCTCTTCCTTAGGCCATACATTTCCTGGCTAAAAAATAGTTTCATCTCCAAAACCCCAATAGGCTCGTTGTGCTGGGCTGTGCTCAATACTTCGCAACAGCCAACGGCCCTGACAATCTCTATTTGCTGTGTCTATTAGGATGCTGACAGCGAATGGGAAGTGACGTGCTGAGGGCTCTCCGGGCGCGTTGTTTTTTCAACTATTGCTCATGGTGACGTGAGCATTCAAGAGTGA